GGGGCTGGGGCAGGGTCTGGGGTTGAGGCTGGGACCACGCAGTTGGCCATAGGTGATCCAGCTTCCTTAACCTCCCTGCCACAGACTGGCCCTTAATTCATTCTTTTTTCTTTTCTTCTTTCAGTTTGCCAGAGAGCAAGTACACTTGCAGGAGAGAGACACAGAGAGAGAAAGGGAGGGAAGGCGAGAAAGCACCCTCATGGGGCACAGTCCCAGCGTAATCCCCTCTCCTCCATCTCTCCCTCCTTTTAGGAGTTTGGGCGCCGACATGCACACATGCAGCCAGTGTGGAGACACAAGCCACGCTGTCTGCCAGGTGGGATCCGCCCCCCTTAACCACCGTGTGATTCGGCTGGCCTAGTTAAGCTTTTTTTTTTTTTAATAAAGAGATTTTTACTATAGGGCACATGTGCTCCCCAGAGAGACAGACGGAAAGCGAGAAATCACCCCCACAAGGGGGATGGCCACACCTCAGTCCCTTCTCCTCCATTCTCCATTTGGGATCTTAGGCATGCACTCATACATGCCTGGCGGGAGTTTCAAGTCACCAGGTCCGGGACTTGAACCATGGTCGACTACGTGGGAGTCCAGCGATTTCACCATTACGTCATTTGCTGGTTCTCCCCCTTTTTTTTTGGAGAGGTTTTTGCTATAGGGCGCGTGCGCTCGCCAGACAGACAGAGAGAGACAGAGAGACAGAAAGCGAGAAATCACCCCCCAGGGGAATGGTCACGCCGCAATCCCTTCTCCTCCATTCTCCTCTCGGGATCTTGGGCACGCACGCACACGCGCCCAGCATGAGTTTTAAGCCACCGGGTCTGGGACGCGAACCGCAGTTGACTATGTGGGAGTCCAGCGATATAGCCATTATGCTAACTGCTGGTTCCCTCTCCCCCCTTTTTTTTTAAAGAGAGATTTTTGTGGGTATGCAGGTGGTATGGTGATTAGGGGTGTTGGACTCCCACATGGCCAACTGCAGTTTGGGTTCTGAATCTGGAGGCTTGCTTTCTCACTTTTCATCTTTCTTTTTTTTTAACTTTATTTAATTTTATTTATTGATTCATTTATTTTTTAATTTGACCAGAGAGAGACAGAGAGAGAGAGAGAGAAAGAAAGAAACTAAGAAAGCAAGCCACCAGGTCCAGGACTCGAACCGTGGTTGGCCATGTGGGAGTGTCCTGCACCTCAGCCCCCACACTACCTGCTAGTTCCCTCACTTTTCATCTTTTTCTCTTTCTCTCTGTCCCTCTCTGGTCAAATTAAAATAAATAGGAACCAGCAGGTGGTGTGGTGGTTAAGGCACTGGACACTCCCACGTGGTTGACCACGGTTCAAGTCCTGGACCTGGTGGCTT